TTAAACCGTTTAAAGTTAAGAAAACTATTTTAAAAGTTAACTATAAACTTTCGCTACTAATAATAATATAGATATACCTAATATTTTATATCTTATTATTAAAACTAGTACTATAAAACGCTAAACTATAGGAAAAAATTAAAGTTAATAATAATTAAGAATATAAAATAAAATAAATACTAGATATAAGAAAATAAGGTTAGTAATAAGAATACCTTATTAAGTAAAAGGGATATAGACTAAAAGAAAATACCTAGGAACTACTTAAGTACTTAACTTATTATAGTTCTTTACTTTAATAGTTCTACTAGTAAAATCTACCTTAGGTATTATAAAATTACTTAACGAACTAATAGTATTTTAATTAATTATATTAAATCTACTTATAAACTAAATATCGACTACTACTTTAGATTCTTAGCGCTTAGCCTTATTAAGGTTATCTAAGGAATAAAGGCCGACGAACTATCTTAGTACCCTTTATCTTTAGCTAGCGCTTTTAACGGTAAAGCCGCGTTAAATAAGCTAAGGCTTCGTTTAGGTCGGCTTAAGCTTTTAATATTCGCTCCTTAGTAATTTCTTCTTCTTTATCTAATCGATTAAACTTTAGATTTATTTAGGATACTAAGAAATATATTAGCTATAAATAATAAGTAGGATAATAAAGTTACTTATAAGAGCTAATCGCTACGCTTAATATATCGTAGGAACGACCCCGCTATATATATTCGGTATACTTAGAAGATTTCTTTAGTATTTTATAACGGAAGCCGCGTAATAAATAGAAAGAATATAATATAACGTTAAAACTAAGACGATTAATAGACTTAGCTAAATAAATATACTTAAGGGTCTTATAAGAACGATCCTTCGATATATAACTAGATATACTATTAGTAATATATCTTAAGGGATAGAAAGGACGAAATAAGGAATATATATATACGCGATAAGGGTATATTTATATATAGCGGCCAGGGTAGTAATAGGTCTTATAGATAAGACTAAAAGAAAGGGAGATATTATATTATAACTACGGTTAGCGGGCTATAGGAGAGCTAGCTACGTTTATATAATAAGGCGGCTTAGAATAATAGTTAGGACGAGAAGTTACTTAGGCTTAGCTTACCTAAAGTATACGTAAGCTAAGTAAGCCTTATATAGATAGATTACTACTTAGGAGTATAGCTTATAAGTAAGCTATAGTAAGCTATAAAGGGGATTATAGCTAGGACTATAATCTAAGGATAGTCTTTATAAGTATATATAGCTACCTACTTTTACTCCTTTAAATAAATAGCTCTCTAGCTTTTAATATATTATAATTATTATAATCTCTATTACGATCTTATCTTTAATTCCGATTACTTAATTACTTAGTTATAGTCTATAGTCTACGACCTCTAACTTATTACTAACGTAATATACTTATTATTACTTAGACTACGCCCTATTATATCTACTAATATAAACCCCTTAATAGGTTTATCCCTTAAGAATAACACCGGTCGTTATAAATATCTATAATAAGATTAATATTAACCTTTTTTACTAAGCTTTCTTTAACCTACTACTTAAATAAGTATAGGAATATACCTTTATATTCTTATTTTACTATTATAAAGAAATAATAAGTATAAGGAGGCTTTATAAAATAAGCTAGTAGAAAGAGGCTCTATAATATAGTCTAAGGAAATAACCTTTAAAGATAAAAGACCTCTATTAAATATCTATAGCTTCTTTTAAGAAAAGTAGGTATAGATAAGCCTATCTTAATAAATAAGAATATATATAAAATATATAAGTTAATTATAAGTAGAACGGATACCCTATTACCTATTTTAGCCTAGCGGTTTTAAAGATATCCGCGATATAAGAATAGATAGGGTATAGAATATTCTAGTTAAATCTACTACTTATACTAAAACCTATAGTCTTACGTTAACTATTACGCTATAATTAAACTACCTACTAAGTCTAAAAGATATACTATAGATAGAGCTTTTTAAGTACTATAGAATATACTAGAAAGCTAACTAATTCGCTTACTAGTAAGTAAGTAATAGTCTATAAAAAATAAAGGATTTCCCTAAGAGTAGTAAGGAGAATAAGTAAGTTTATAAGTATCTTTTATAACGCTATTCTTTTAATATATTATTTAGCCCCTTATATACTTATTATAAATTCCGGACGAAATCCTACCCTATACCTCTTTAACCGCTCTTTCCGCTTAAGTTATTAATTACCCGATCCTACGCTTATTTCTTATACCTTTTTATAGTAAGAGTAGCGGTAGCGGCGGAGCTATTATCGGCCGTAGCTAGTATAGTATCGACGAATAACTCTATATACTCTAAGAAGGAGGAGGCGGGGGAGGGGGAGGTAGATATATCTATTATAGAAGTTAGTATAATAGAACGTAGCCTCCCGCTTTATAAAGTAAGGAACTTATTAGTTAAAGTTATTATTATTATTATTAAGGCTATTATTATAATTATAGCTATTACTATAAGTACTTATTAATAGGGCGGCCTATATAGCTAAGAATAAACTTATACCTTAAGTAAAGTAGAACTTACTTATTATAGCTATTACTATAGTTAAAGAAAGAGGAAAAGGAAGGAAAGAAAAAGGGAGATACTACTTTATATACCCTTAGTAAAGCTGCCTAAGGCTAAGGGAACGGGCAACCTAAGGCTTATATATATCTAGGCCGCCGCTAGCCGCTTAATAGCGCGTATAATAAAGTGCGCTCTTATTTAAGCGGCCGGCTAGCTAGTAAGTATAAAGTTAGGTACCGGCTACTTAAGTTAATAAGCATAGGGATAATAAGCCTAGTAGCGCTAGCACGATTAATAAAAGAGAGTAAGGCAAAGCTAGCGGTATAAAGGGCCTAAGGCTTAACTATATAGAAGCCGTTAATAAGGGGGCGCCGCGCTATTTTAAAGGAAGGGTATTATATAAAAGTCTTTAACTATTATAAGTTATAGGCTTAGGCTATAGCCTAAGCTATATAGTTATATATAAAGGGCTAGATCCTATATATATATATAGGCTAGCTATATATAAAAGAGCTTTATATAGCTTATTAATATTATCCTATAAATAGTACTTATATATATACCTTTACTTACTTTATAATAAAACCCTTTTAAATAGCTTATTATACCCTCTTAAGTATAGCTTTATATAGCTATAAGCGGGTATATAATATACTATTAAAGATTATAAATTAAGTACGGTTTTCCTTTATATAAGTAAAAACCTCCTTCTTACCTTTATTAACTAAGGGTATATACCCTTTATTAATAAGACTTAGCCTAGACCTAACCTAGGACCCTAGCTTAAGCTTAAAGCGGGTCCCTTTAACCTTCCCTCTTTTAACTTAAAGGCTAAAATAAGTACCTTAAAAGCTAGGGCTTACTTAAGAAAAGCTTTAAAAGGCTAATGCTTTTTAAAGACCTTAAAAGAAAGGCTTAAAACTTAAAACTAAGACTAAGAAGATATTAAGATAAAAGAAAATACCTAGCTTAATATACTTAAGACTAGCCTCTTTAGGCCTAGCTTCGCCCTACCTTAAGCTAGCTACTTTTAGCTTAACTAGCCTCTTAAGTAAGTAAAAAGGTAAAAAAAGCTACTTTTAATAGCCTTATTAGCCTATACTTATTTAACCTATACTTTAATACTTATAATAGTAATAACCCTAGCCTTAGCCTTAGTACCTCTTTCTTAGGGACTAGGCCTAGGGCTTTTTTTAGTAGGCCTTCTAGGCCCTTAAGGAAGCTTAAAAAATTAAACTCTTTTATAAGACCCTTATAAAAAGGCTTAAAAAGGTAACTATAACCTAGGACTATTAATAGCCCTTATTATAGCTCCTATAATAGCCTAAGGCTACTTAGCGGCCTAAGCCTATTTAAGGAAGCCTTAAAGCTAGCTTATAGGCTAAGGTCGCTATAAAGCGCTTAAGGCCCTAGCTTAGGCCTAGCTAAGGCCTTAGTAAAGAAGAATATAAAGAGAACTTCTAACTTATCTTAAAGCTAAAAAAAGGATTACTAATACTAACTATTAGCCTTATTACTCTTTATAATAAGCTTAATAAAGCTATAAAGAAACTAGCTATATAAGCTCTATTACTTTAAAAATAAAGGTAATATAATTATAATAATAAAGGCCCCTTATTATAAGAATATACCCTTATATTCCTACTTTTCTATTATAAAGAAATAATAGGTATAGGGAGGCTCTATAGAATAAGCTAGTAGTAAGGGTATCGCACGGAGGATGAGCAAGTGGGCATAAAGATCAGGGACTGGAAGACTCTTGATTCTGCTATCTAAGGTGGGAAAGAGGCGAGATCTTTATAGACTGCCTGAATATGAGAATGGAAGGGAATGGTAGTGAATGGAAGCATCTGATCGGATCATCTGGAAGCCACTGATGCGTTGATGATGCCTCCTAGAAGTTTCTGTGGGGAAATGTGGAAACGGACTGTGCGAATAGGGGGTCAGACTGTTGGAGGCTGATATCCTATGTGTGACAGACTGTTGGAGGCTGATATCCTATGTGTGACATACCCCCCCAGGTTGTGCTGGCTAGTGGGCAGTGCAAACTGAAGAAAGAAACTAGATCCCTAGCAACGTAGAGATATCGATGAGACCGAGTTGTTTGACGAAAGTAGCAAATTTCTGGCCTGGCAGAGCTTTGGTGAGGCCGTCTGCAATCATCTGGGAAGTAGGCGTATAAGTGAGCTTATAGAGGCCTTTCTAAGGATTGAACCCTGGGATGACTTGCGAGTCTTTTTATCATCAGCGAAAGCAGCGTCGGATGCGCTTTGGAAATCGCTATGATGTTGAGCGTGGAGCTGAGGAACAACATCCTCGTCGAGGCAGGGTTTTCCTGAAAACTGGATGGCGAGATACCTAGTGGCGTAAAGGTACTCGATCAGATGGTCTGCGAGCTTGGAGTGATGCTCGGAAGGGTTGTTGAGGAATTCAGCTAGTTTAGACGCTGGCTTGGCTATGTCCGAGCGGGTGATAGCTGCGGCGTAGGTCAGTGATCCAACTTTGCTCTGGTATAGCTGAATTTGGTCTGGAGAAGCCCGCCCTGTGTGCGGCTGGACTTCGTTGCACGGGAAAGGGCTCCTCTGAAGTGGTCACGCCGTTGAAGGTCGAACCGTTGAACCATCCTTTCAATGTAGGAGTCTTGGCATAGCCAAAGCTTCCTGTTGGGTCTGTCACGTAGGACTCTGATACCAAGGAACCATTGTAATTCCCTTGGTCTGTCATCGCGTACTTCCTCTTGAGGGCTGCAACCATCTCATCAGCTGCGTCCTCGTTTTCCTTGCGATAGAGGAAAACAATATCGTCAACGAAGAAGAAAACAGTGAGCCAGTCGTTCTGGAAGATGCAGGGTTCGTCGGGACACTGTGTAAGACCAAGCTCTCTGAATGCAGCAGTGAGTTCCTTCTGCCAAAGAAGAGGGGACCGTCGGAGGCCATAGAGGGCTCGCATGAGGCGAAGAGCCCATCCCTGTCTGTAGTATCCGTCTGGGAAGGCTACATAGACCTCCTCCTCGTCTTCTAAGAGGGCGTTTGTGAAGGCATTAACTGCGTCGAGCTGTCGGGTCTCAAGGTCGAATTTGGCGGTGATGGCCATGAGAATCCGGAAAGAACGTCCTGCAAGGGTTGCTGCATAGGTGTCCTTGTCACCTAGCTGTTGAAGATCTCCTCGAACACAAAGACGGGCTTTGAACTTTGTAAGAAAGCCATGCTTGTCGAACTTATACTTAAAGACCCAGGTAAGTGGCAAAAGCTTGCCCGTGACCTGGTCTCTGGGGACCGCTCTGAAGGTTCCTCTCTGTTGGAGTGCTTTCCACTCGGCGTGGGCTCCTTCTCTGAACTGAGGACCAAATCTGTGGGTGCGAAGTTCCTTATACGTCGTAGGTTCGGGAGGAAGGTGTCGTCTGTGAAGTTTTCTTCTCTGCCGAGAAAGAAAGAGCTGTGGAATTGACCCTTAGTGTTGGTCGAAAAAGCACTGAGCTTGCGAGGCTTTGGAGTGCGGGCTGAGCGCCGTGGCTGAGAGTCACTCGGACCGGGGTCCGGTGTCGGATATGGGTGCTGAATGTCATGAAACTCATCCTGATCATCCGAGTCCTCATGATCAGATGGTTCGGGTTGTACCACAATCGTGGTGGCGTCTCCTTGGTCTGAGGTTGAGGAGATTGCTCAACGGGGTCAGGTTCAGGTTCATCGATTTGAGTGGGGATTTCCTCGTAATCCGACTCGTCCTCGATGTGGGCTGGAAGCTGTACTTCCACGCGCTGCGGGATAGGTTCTGGTGGCTGATCATTTCCGTCATAGAAGATGCTTTCATTGAAGGTCACATCTCGGACCCTTCGGACTTCTGATGTGGACGGAATCCAGATCCTGAAAATGTTCGTGGAATCATATCCAACGAGATAACCGATTTCTGTGTGAGGGTCGGTCTTTAGGTCCTTCTTCTGTCTGTTCTGAATGGCCTGGGGTGTCAAGGGATAGGCTCTGCAGCCGTATGCCTTGAGAAACGTGATGTCAGGCTGGTCTTGCTGGTAGCCTATGTCTCTGTTGTTGTCTCGCAGCCACTGATGAAGCAGCTGGAAAGGCGTTCGGAAGCTGTGGTTCTGCATGGGCGATCTGTTGTGCAAAAACACTGCAGCTTTCCAGGTTTCTGGCCAAAGATCAGATGGTAAATTGGCATCAATTCCCATTGTTCTGGCCTGGGCAGATATTACCCCCCCAGATCGCTCTGCAGAACCGTTTTGAGCGGGAGTGTAAGGGGCAGAAGGTTCATCTTGAATCCCCTTTTCCTCGATCCAGCTCTCATACGCACTCTGAAGAGAACGATCGTTATCACGGTGGATAATGCAAATGTTGAGATTCCATTGGCGTTGAACCATTGCCTCGTGGTTTCTCAAAGCAGTCATAACGGACCCTTGTGTCGCGTCATTCAGAAGGTAGATGAAGATCATGCTTGTAAATTCATCTTTGATAAGAAGAACAGCTTCCTTGCCGTTGAATGAGGTGTTCATACTGAAGATATCAACGTAGATTCTCCAGAATGGTCTGGGGCTCGGTTTTGAGGGTTCGGCGAGACGACCTTCTTTCCCTTCCCAAGGGAACACGCGGTGCAATCGATGGTAACTGGGCCTTTGATCTTCGAACCCGTCGTGTTCTCAACAAGATGCTCTAGGGCTTGAGCGTTCAAGTGACCTAGGCGCTTATGCCAAAGCGTAGCATCTGCTGTTTTCACTGCGCGAGGTGCAGATGAAGATGTGAAGTTGGAGGCGTGAGAGTCCTCCTTAATCGGGTTGAACTCGATGACCGGTTGACGAAAGCGGCGTTTCGTATGAAATATAATCTGATCGTCTTTAGAGACGCGTCCAGATAGTGGATTCCAGTTGTATCCCTTCGCAAGAAAGCGGTCGAGGGATGCGATGTTGGTGTGGAATTTTGGCACGAAGGCAACTTCGTTGAGCTGAAAAAGTCCTCCTTCTTCAAGCTTCATACGGACTGTGCCGTAGCCAAGGATCTGAAGTTGACTATCGCCTGCAAAGAGCTCTTCTGGCTCTGCAAGGGCGGTGTAGTCAAGAAAACAGGATCGGTTGTTGCAAATGTGTGTGTCTGATCCGGAATCAAGGATAAAGGAGTCATACAGCGGGTAGACTGCCTTTCCCGTCGAGAAACTGGTTGATGGAGGTGTTGAGGAGGCGGTGTGTTGTCAGGAGCTGGTAGAAGACCGGCAAACGCTGTACCTTTAACGGAGGAGTCGGACGATTTCTCCATTTCCTTCTTCTTGAAGTCTTGTGCTTTCTCCGTCATCTTCTTTGCCCATGGATTGGAGTCGAGGATTTCCTTGATCTTCTTCTCAACCTTCTGATCAGGAGTCCAGCCATCAGGCCGAGCTGATTTGATGAGATAGAAGCAATCTACGAAGCGGTGATATTCTCCGCAGACACACATAGGAACACCATCAGCGTTCTTGCTTGAAGACCACTTAGGCTTGTCCTCTTTCCTCTCCGATTTCTCTCCCTTGCCTTGGAAGGCAGCTCCGAATGATCCTTTGCTGTTGTTGGCGGCCTTGATTCGGTGAGCTCGTTCAAAGATCTCACTGATCTTAATGCCGTCCGGGAAGTCGGTCTTCCAATCAGGCTTGCCGAATACGGCCTCGTCTTCCATTTTGTTGACCCAATAGTCTGTGAATGGGGCGTTGATGGACGAAACAGCCTGTAGGAAATCTTGGGTAGGGCGAAGGTCCTGGACATCAGGAAGCCCTAATTGCTTTGCCTCAGTGAGGACTTTCTGCCATTGGGTGACCCAAGCTTCGATCTTGGTCCTGTTTGGCGACTGAAGGGTGGAACGATAACGCTGAACAACTTCCTCTCGAGTGCCCAGTCGGTTGGGGCCACACGAGCCTGAAGCAAGGCAAGTTGCTTTGCAACGTCGTGTTCCTCGGCAATGGTGCTGTAGTAGTTGCCGATGGTCTTGACGATGTGTTGTTGAAGGCTGGCGAGTGCCTTCACTTGATCCCTATACCCTTGAAGCTTCGAGCGGTATTGGGTGTGGAGGAATTCGAGACGGCGAAATTCCTCCGAGGTCAGATCCACGAGATCAGATGCTTCGTGGTTGATTTGTCGGAATGTTGGTTCAACTGGCTGCTGAAGAACCGGCTTACCCTCCTTGACGGCAGGGTCCAGAAAGTCCCAAAGACTGTGGGACGTGGCGAATTTCTTGATGATAGAAATCCATTGTTTCCAGTCGCAAGGGCCGTTGAGCACGGTGCCCTTGGAAGAGCCATCAAGATCTAGAGCTGAGCTCATTGTGGAAGCTATTCTGCGCAGCGGAATGAACGAGAATAAGATACCCAGTCAATGGCAGACCGGGCTCATAACTATCGCACGGAGGATGAGCAAGTGGGCATAAAGATCAGGGACTGGAAGACTCTTGATTCTGCTATCTAAGGTGGGAAAGAGGCGAGATCTTTATAGACTGCCTGAATATGAGAATGGAAGGGAATGGTAGTGAATGGAAGCATCTGATCGGATCATCTGGAAGCCACTGATGCGTTGATGATGCCTCCTAGAAGTTTCTGTGGGGAAATGTGGAAACGGACTGTGCGAATAGGGGGTCAGACTGTTGGAGGCTGATATCCTATGTGTGACAAAGGGGCTCTATAATATAGTCTAAGGGAATAACCCTTAAAGATAAAAGACCTCTACTAGATATCTATACCTTCCTTTAGGAAAAGCGGGTTAAGATAAGCCTATCCTAATAAATAAAAATATGCATTTTATATATAAGTTAATTACGATCAGAATAAATACCCTATTACCTATTTTAGCCTAGCGGTTCCGAAGATATCCGCGATACGAGAATAGGTAGGGCATAGAATATTCTAGTTAAATCTACTACTTATACTAGAACCTATAGTCTTACGTTAACTATTACGTTATAATTAGACCACCTACTAAGTTAGGAAGACATACTATAGATAGAGCTTTTAAGCACTATAGAATATACTAGAAAGCTAACTAATTAGTCTACTAGTAGGCGAGCAATGGTCTATAAAAGACAAAGGATTTCCCTAGGAGTAGTAGATAGGATAAGTAAGTTTATAAGTATCTTTTACAACGGTATTCTTTTAATATATTATTTAGCCCCTTATATACTCGTTATAAATTCCGGACGAAATCCTACCCTATACTCCTTCGACCGATCCTTCCGCTTACGTTATCGATTACCCGATCCTACGCTTATTGCTTATACCTTTTAATACTTATATAGTAAAGAAGCTTTTAAAGTAGCGGGAAAATTAGTCTCTATACTTTAAGGGGCTACCTATTAAATTAGCTAACCTTCTTACTAGCTAGACTAAGCTAGTAGCTTAGAGCGTCCCTAACCTCTTAGAGACCCCTATCCTTAATATCTTTACTATAAAGGCTAAGAACTTTAGCGGGATCGATATCCTAGGGCAGCCTAGGTAGCTAGGCACCCTAGGCCTAACCTAGAAGGTAGGATCTATAATCTTTATAGTCCTTTTAAAGGCTATAAAGGCTAAATACTAAAAAAAGGGCCTTTATATAGTAGGTCTATAGCTTTAAGTTAAGGCTTATAAGGAATATACTATATATATATAGTACTATAAGTGCCTTTCCTTTAGCTATAACTCTTAGACTTACTAGTAGCTTATTAAGTATACCTTTTTACTTAGAAAAGTACTTAAGTCTAGCTCTTAAGGCATAGACCTTATTAATAATACAGTTTATTTAAAAAGCTCGCTTAAAAGAGTATTATATATTATTATAACTTAACGAGGGTCCTAAAGACCTTAGAAGGGTCTTAGTAGGCTATAGACTAATATATAGCTATTAAAGGTTAGGCTTACGCCTATACGCACTAATAGGCGCGCCCCTTATCCCTATAAGCAGAGACGATACTATCGCCGTATCCGGAGGCATCGAATACGGTAGTCGACCTAAGGGATGCTAAGGAAGTTACTAGACGGATCCGGGTAACTATAAGCTGCCGGATTAATAGGGAAACCTACCCCCCCCCCATACTTTATATATATATATATAGTCACACCCACGGACTCCGTCTTTTAGGCAGGACAGCGCAATCTACACCCTCTTTCTTCAATGCAAAGACCCAATAACTAGTAATAACGGGCGTCCGGACCTTTTAGGCGCGTCCGGCTATTTTCCGCCCAACTAAGGGGTGTGCCCCTTAGGTGGCCCCCGCAGGACCTAGCCAACGGGTATATATCTCCAGCGTTTGAGCCGCGATGAAGCGACAGGGGCGCTGGACATGGCCTCGAGACACGGGGGGGCGAGGCATCAAACTATCCTGCCGACTGACGGGACCGGCAATTCCAAGCCCCTTTTTTGGCTCTTTCTTCTTTGACCTGGCCTGCTTCTCGGACGCCTGCATGGGGCCCAGCTCAAAAGTCCCAAAGGCTGGTTGCAGGTCGGTGTCGCGAGCCGCGGCAACTCAGCAAAAGGAAGAAGACAACGAGGCCTGGCCGCATCGACCCTACATTTCTGCAGGGTCACTTCCGCCCGGCGATCAATACGATGCCGGGAACTTTCCCGCTTCGGTTGACATTGTCGGGTATCGGTGTCATCTGGATGCGACGCTGTGAGGTTGATCATCGGGAGTCGGCTACCGGCTTTGGAAAGGGGAGAACTGCTGCGGAGAGCCCTCTCTACTCTTACATACGAATGCCCGAGTCCGAACTCGGCAGGTAGAGATGAAGGGCCGATGGGCGATGAGGGATGACGAGGGGGCGACCAGCCAACGTCGCCAGGCGTGCCAAGTCCCCAGGGTGCCGGGCTTATTCAGGGATTCTCAAGGGTATTACTATGGGTGCATGGCGATGCTTTGTGGTAGATGGCGTACGTCTCTTTGCGGCCCGAGGAAGGGTAGCGCGAGACAAGGCGAGAGCGAGAAGGACGTCAGCGAAGAGCACCAAGTCTGTGAGGGTGGCCGGTGAGAGAAACGGGCGTGGTCTCGGCTCAACTCGTGTCCGTCCGAGAGGCTGTATGACAGGGACAATGACGACGATGAGACCAGCCGCAAACGGGAGGCCTCTGGTCGACATTGCAGCGAGGCTTTTCGGCCGCTGTTTTGCAGCTCATTCGATTGCATTGTTGAGATGGACAGAGCAAGATGGATGGACAGATACTTGAGACAGATCAGGGGAGGCGTGACGATGAGATGTTTGCATCAAGTGGGAATCAAGCGAGCCTGGTTCACGCAGAGATATCTGAACCGCCATATTGCACTGATCTGTCCAGCGGAAGACTCGGGGCGTTGCATGTGTGATGTAAGCTGTGTGGTCGCATTTGCCGCTGTTGCATGCAGGTGATGCTGACCATGGGCCGCGAGCTATCGATTCACCACGAATGGGATGGGCGTGGCGGACAGGCCGAGAGACAAAACATTGAGAGAGGAGAGAGATGTGTATAAACGCTGAGAGAGAGTGGGATGTTTATAAACATTGGGGAGAGGGGAGAGACAAACGTTGTGAGTGTGAGAGAGCAACATTGTGAGTGAGCGGGAGAGCGACAAACAGTGTGAGAGGAAGAGAGAGAAGCGAGAAAGGCACCAGGACAGCAACGATAAGGGCGTTCCTGTCCAGGACAGCTTGCGTGATTGTCCGGGATATCCGTTTCAGCCCGCGCCCCCTCTTTCGGCCGAGTTTACGCGCTCAAAGTGCATGGATAGGCGTGTCCCCCCAAGTATAAAGTGACACTGCCCCAAGCTAGACGATGCATGTGAACATGCGTAAGAGAAAGTCTCCGTCTGCCTCTTGCATCCCCCTCCCCCCCTTCCCCCGAGCAGGAACAAAGAGCATTACTCAAGATTGAAGCCACGGACCAGCATGAAGCACACAAGCATCTCGACGATATACGCGACGGCGGAGCTGGCGGAAAAGTCGTCCAACTACTGCGAGGCGCACTCGCTGGCGCTGCCGCGGCACATCACCGACTACCACGCGAGCGTGTGGGCGCGGCGCGACGACTCGCTGATGATGAGCAGCAACCAACAGTCGCAGCTGCACATCTTCCTGGCCAGGGCGTTTGGGGTCAAGCGAGGTCGGTTTGCCTTGGGGTGATGGGTGGGATACACACGCGTCCGTGACAGCGCGTGTGTGTATGAGACCGGAGTGAGACATGGCTCGAGGCACGGCAGACTGTCCTGACACGTCCCATCTAGTCATCGATGTCGGCGTCTTTGTCGGCTACTCGGCCATGGTGTGGTCCCACGCCGTCGGGCCCGATGGCCTCGTCACGGGCCTGGAGATTTCGCCCGAGTTTGCGCGCGAGGCGGGCGAGGCGTTTGCGGCCAACGGCATCAACAACATTGAGACGATCGTGGGCGACGCCTCGGAGACGTACGTGCCTGTTCGGATTCGGGAGAGGTCTGGCCCCATGGGACCTGGACCTGCTAACATGCTTCCGCACACAGCCTCCCGAAGCTCGCCTCGGACACGCCCTACGACGCCGTGTTCCTCGACGCCGACAAGCCCGGGTACGGGGGCTACATGGAGCAGCTGCTGGACGGGTCGCAGCCGGGGGCGGCGCGGCGGCTGCTACGGCCCGGGGCGCTCATCGTGGCGGACAACGTGCTGCGGTGGGGCCACATCCCGGCGCCGGGGCTGACGACGTCGTACTGGACGTCGGAGGAGCTGAAGCAGCGCGAGCTCGAGGGCCTGCGGCGCTTCAACGACCGGTGCGCGGCGGAGCCGAGGCTCGAGGTGGTGATGCTGCCCGTGTGGGACGGGGTGAGCTTGATGAGGCTGCTGGACTGAGGATTGATTGGTGAGCGAGCGCCGGGTCTTTGGATGGATTAGGTAAACAGGCAGGTTCGGTTCTGGTTGACAACTAGAAGAAAGACTGTGTGTGTTGTCGACGTTTCCTCTTGGATGCTGTGCTCCGCCACGGGGGTGGGAGTGGAATGGGCGAGGAAGAGAGTGCGTCAGCTGTCACATCCGGTGAGTCTAACGCGCAGGACGAATGTCGCAGCCAGCCAGGAAGGGTGCGCACCGCCTTGGTAGGTCGCCGGTGTGGAACAACTGGACTCTAGGCGTTTGACTTTGTAGAGGATAGAGGACAGTTGCCGGCTGTCGAAAGGTTTCTGTAAAAGGCATTATGATGTGGAATGTTTGATGTGGGAATCAGGGAGGGGTCCAACTACAATAGCAGCAGCACTGCTCACGCACTGTAACGCCTATGGGGCCGCTTCCTGCACTGTAATGCACTGTAGGGCGCAGGGCGTCTGAGACGAGACAGCTCTCACTGTATCACGAGCGGTGAAAAGACAGACAGACAGCCTTGGAAAAGACAACATGCGTCACGCAACAGACGGCGACGACAAGCTTTGCCAAGCCTCCGCGCGCTGCCAGAAATGCTTGACCGCGAGGAGGAAGATGCGAGGGCGGGCGGGAGAGCGCGAGCGCTGTACTGTATTGCATCCACCCTTGCACTCTGAGTACTCGCAGCGCTCACTCTCTACACCAGCATCATCGTCACATTCTTACGCTCCGGTCTCACGGCGTACAGCACAGCAAGCACTTTGCCCCTGCCTATAGATGTGAGCCAAGAGGCCCTGCGTTCCAATGCCGCCCGAGCCATGGCGACTTGCCACCGTCCACCTTGGGGCGCCACGTATTTTCCCAATGCGACAGTGCCGTCCGCCGCTGGGGCGCATAAGCACTGTATCAGCACTGTAGCCACTGTGTCCGAGGGCCACCTGAGGCGTGGCATGAGGCACGACCTGCCCCCCCCCCCTCCTGTAATTAGCACAGTGCCCAGGGCAGGAAGGATGAGGCCTTCGGCACTCCCTTTGCCCGACCGAGTGCCGTGCTTGGCTCACTCCGCATTCTGGTGTCACGGCGGTAATAAATCAATGCCTCGCTGGTACGGAGTACGGAGTGGGTACTGTGCATTCCTGAAGCATACACAGTACGTACTGGCGCCTGGGACTAGCATCCTCCCTGGCATCCGGCTTCTAATTGCACTGTGCTCCAAGTCTCCCTCGATGCGACAGATTACGTGGGCCGGCGCTGGCTTGTCTGACTGTCATGTCAGCAAGTACTCCGTACTGTACCACTCGCCACTCACCACTCACCACTCACCCACTAGTAGTTCATAACTTCACGGCCCTTATGGCACCTCGATCCCGTCGTCCATAGGGTCATGAAAACGCTAAATAGTTGTCTTACAAGGGATCAAGTAAGAATGGAATGCGAGAGCTTGGCGGAGTCTACAGGAAACGTCCAGCATTGAACCGTCAGAATGCCATGTCGGGGTGCCTAGAGTGTCCAAGTCCGGCAGCAAGGACTGCGGCTACAGGCGCGTATTGGCGACCACGAAGATTGCCGGCGAGTGGCCTTTGTCCACGCCATCTCTATAAGTCATTAATGTCCTTCAGTCGATGATCATCGGTTCTTATTCGCGACGATGGCTAGACAGAAAAGGCCGCGCGGCATTGGAACTTGGCGCAGCATCGGATGCGACTTTGCAGGTCACCGTGCATCCTCGTACATGCATGGGAAACGTCAATTTCTTTTCCAGAATGAACAGGGGCTATGAAGGGAGGGTGACGATACGTATGCATGGGAGGCGTGCGCAGATCGGCTGGACCAAGAAGACGGTGAGGGCTGAGGAGACGTGCGGCGACGAGAAGTCTTCGCTAGCACCGGATAAAACTTTTCTGCCTTGGCAGTCAACTCATGGCGTCATCCCGGGTCGGCTCGTGCAACGGCTTGATGAAGAAATCCTGGAGAGTCGAGAGCGCTCTCATGACACTAGATGTTGAGGCATGGGGGCGTGAAACGAGGCCTTCACGGGGTCATGCCGTTGATGTCGAGAGAATCTTCTTCTATTAGTCATACACAAGCTTCCGAGTTAGCCGGCAAATACCCGAGTTCACGCCCGTACATGTACATGTACTTGAAGCTCGACCGACATTCTGGAACCCGGATTGAAAGCTCAGAAGCTTGAATTATTATCTCTCTATTGAATCGGAAAAGCTGTGTGGTGGTCGAGAACAACAGCCCATTAAGACCTTAACGAAGCCACCTGCCCAGGAACCCATCACTGAGGCACTACAGATAACAACATCACCTCCCACGACTTCCGCTCTGACCCAAGATGCCCTTGACCCAACCTCTCTTACAGTTCATCCGACAACACACCGCTTCAAGCACCCGAACTCGTCCAACCCGTCCACACCCCAACCCGAACTATTATCCGAGCCTATGTCCCTCGAGGCATACACAAAACTCCACCGGATGATATCCCGAACGCCACCGTCGATGGCGACACACAGCAGAAATTCATGAAACTCTGGGACAAAGACAAGAACTACACAGGAGAGCCGTACGACCTCCTCGATGACAAGATCCGAATCTTCATGAGCATCTGCTACAACATCCAAGTGAAACCGTCACAATTTCACGCCCTTTTTCCCCGAATCCTCGCCGGAAGAGCACAAACGTTCTACATTGACAAGATCGAATGGACTACCACGTTTAGGAAGGCATACGATAGCATCAAACAACACTTTGACACGGAAGTTAACCACGTCCATTACTATACAGATTGGACCACAACCACTTTCAACTCGATTCGTGCCCAAGATGCTTCCAAATCCCTCCATGAAGTCCTTCAACTACTCTTCGATAAGCTACAACTCTGTCAGAGAGCCCTTGGCCCTGACTACGCAGGAAACATTCCACTGCGTACTACGCTTATCATCGCATGCCGTGGTGTACCCGAACTTGAACACGCCCTCTTCAAACCTGCAGCAAAGATCGAGACCCTCTTTGCAGATCTACGATCTTCCGTTGAGACCCACCTTGCCCGACAGACAAACCCTCAGTACTTGCAAAGCCCTGACGGATCATTTGGACCAACGAATCCGAACAATCAGTACTACCTCGATCGCCGATACCATAACAACCGCGTACGAGGAAGATACGGATACTCAGGACAACGACCCAATCGCGGATATGGACAAGGCTACAACCGTGGAAGCTACAGGCCCTCAAGCCATAGCAACTACACCCCTAGCCACACCAATCGCAATTGGACCAAAAAGTGCTTTGTTTGTGGACAAGAAGGTTGCTGGTCAACCAAACACTCTGCAGAAGAACGACAAGAGGCCAAGGACCAATATGTCGCACGTTGTCAATTCACAGGCATACAACCTCCAAACTTCATAGCCTATCTTATAGACTACGAAGGTCATGAGCTTGATGAACTCACTACCGACGACATATGGGAAGAACCTGACAATGGCACCAACAATCACCCTAGACAATGGAGAAGTCTACCAGACGGATCAAACCATTGTTCCCGCCTAGCAATTCGTCATTCAAGATCAATATTCAGTGGACAATTTCCCAGGCATCATGATTGACACAGGTGCAGCAAAGTCTCTACAGCTGGTCATTCCCAGTACATTGCTTTACAGCGAGAAGACCCAAATGTAGCCCTAGACAGCTCGACATCCGGCCAGGCTACCATCAAATTCGGCAACGGCGAAGCCATTCACTCAATCGGCTCAATCGCCCCCAAAACACCCGTCAGAGGGATAACGTTCCACATCCTTCAGACCCCTACCCCTTTCTTGCTTTCTTTGGCTGATACGGACCGTCTTGGTAACTATTTCAACAATATCACAGCAACCACAGAAGAAGAAAAATTGCCAGTATGGGAAGAATTCGTTACAGTCTTAACAAAGCTACTTCATTAAGACCCTAACGGAGCCCTGGTCAAGAACCCCTCTTTCCTCACTGTCGTTACATCTTCTTGCCCCGGTCACTACAGCAGCCGCAACCACAAAAAGAAAAAGTTGCCAGTGTGGGAATGGTATTAACGTAATCTACCCCCTTCCTGGTCACACCCCCTACCTGCTCAAAAATTCCCCACCCAAGCGACCCGCACCTCATGGCGAGACAGGCCGACCACCATGACGGAAATTCGAGACCAATCGATTCCACGCGAAGAACGGGTCCTGCTCGCCGTGAAGGCCTATCAGCAAGGCCAATTCGACAGCGCCCACAAGGCCGCGACGGCATACGATGTCCTCAATCGACAGTCTCTGCTCGACTGCGCGGTGCCCGGCCCCGACGCGACGCGCAGATGAACAACCGGAAGTTGACGGCGACGGAAGAGACTGCCCTCGTACAATGGGTCTTGTCGATGGACGAGCGAGGATGCCGCCGACAGTGGTCTACACTCGCCGCATGGCCAACTTGTTGCTTTCGGAGCGCTGCCAAGAAACTGTCGGCGAAAATTGGGTGCGGAAGTTCGTTGGCCGCCACGACGAAATCAAGGCGAAATACTCTCGTCGATACGATTACCAACGTGCCAAATGCGAAGACCCGAAGATGATGCAAGAATGGTACGATCGGGTGGCAATGGCGAAACAGAAATGGGGGATTCTTGATGAGGATGTCTACAACTTCGATGAGACGGGTTTTCAAATGGGAGTCATTGCGTCGGCAAGAGTCCTTACTCGGTCTGACCGGCGAGGTCGGCCTATGGTCATGCAGCCAGGAAATCGAGAATGGGTTACCGTAATTGAATCTATTAATTGCCAAGGTTGGGCTTTGCCGGCGATGGTCATCTTCCAGGGCAAGGTGCACCAAGCAAGCTGGTACGAGGCAGATGTGCCCAAGGACTGGCAGATTGCCGTGAGCGACAAAGGTTGGACTTCCGACGACCTTGGATTGCATTGGTTGAAGGGAGTTTTCGACCCATACACACGGCGCCGTACCGTTGGAACACGCCGACTTCTCATTCTCGACGGGCACGGCAGCCATGTTACGCCGGAGTTCGACAAGTACTGTACGGACAATGCCATCGTGGTACTCCAAATGCCAGCTCATTCCTCACATCTCTTACAGCCTCTGGATGTCGGGTGCTTTTCGCCTTTGAAAACGATATATGGGCGGAATGTTCAAGAGAAGATGCTCGCAGGGGTCAACCACATCGATAAAGAGGACTTCCTGCTTCTGTACATCGAGGCCCGCCGACAAGCGCTCTCCCCGTCGAACATCCGAAGTGGATTCATGGCCACAGGCCTTTCCCCATTCAATCCGACCCGGGTTCTGTCACGGTTACTAGTTCAGGTTGACAGGAATGGCAACGACAATGCCAACGATGACGGCGACAAGCACACTCCAAGCCCCCAGAAAAGCTTGGAAGCCCACAAGACACCTTGCAATGTTAGCCAGCTTACCACTCACGTGGAAGGACTTCTTCAGCGCCGGCCACAAAATGCGGGCACGCCGGTCTCACAAGCCATAAACCAGCTCATCAAAGGATGTCAAATGGCCATGCATAGTGCCGCGCTGCTCGCCGACGAAAACAGACATCTTCGGTCAGAAAACCAGCGGCGAAAGAGGAAGAGAGCAACGACGCGAGTATATTGGTGATGGCGGTGCTCTGTCTGTCGCAGAAGGCACGGCTAAGATAAAGCGACGGCGAGAAAAGGAAGAGGAACGTGCTAGGCGACTGAGGGCAAGGGAGGATGAGCAGGCAGGGCAACAACTTATCGAGGAGCAGGCCCGACGGCAGACAGAAGAAGAGCTGTGCGTCCCAAGACGGCGTGCACCACCACGGTGTAGTAAATGCAGGTCATTTGAACATAATGCCCGGACGTGTAATAGATAGACAGGTCTGAATTTACTTGCTTGTTTGTCTCTTGGAATCAATTGCCGTCTGTTGTGTTCGGTTGGTCGCGCCATGAGGTACGGGTCGCTTGGGTGGGGAAATTTTGAGCAGGTAGGGGGTGTGGCCAGGAAGGGGGTAGATTACGTTAGTCCATTGTACTCATCTAGCTAGCTTACGTACACAGTCACGTGTACGGCTGAGGCCACAAAGCTAGCTTCGTGGCCTCCTCCCCCTTTTCGATAGACAAATCCTCATAGCATAATACGACACACCGATCTCCAGGAGCTTGTTCAGAAGTCCTTCACAACCAGAGGTCACAGTTCCTTCCATGACCATGTGAGACATCCAAAACGGCAAGTGCGCCCTCATCTGCTTCAGGCAGCAAGACACTGGCATAACAATGCAGTCCGAAACGGCCGAACCATTAACAGCAAGCGGAGGAAGAGGAGGTCCAAGCCAAGCCTGCAGCCTGCAGCGATCCTCGCGACTGAACCCTCTGACACTCGGGCCAGCATGCATTAAAACCCTGCTGAAGAAGATGCCGTCTTGTGCGCGCTGTGCCGCGCGATATGTGAAGCCCCTGGGACCCAGACAGTCCCTTAGAGTCTTTTCGAGAGAGGAAGTCGAAAGCTTGTGTGTTGTCACCGACAAGATGAGAAGCCACCGCTCGCAGAAGCGCTCGATCCGGAGAGGAGAACAAAACGGATGACTGCAGCAGCAGCAGTCACTCGCCCTTGCCGCGGATAGAGAAGGACAGTTGGTCGAAATCGTCCCATTGAGAGGTGGTAAGCTCATCCTGCCCAAAATTTGACCAACACGAGGACGACTCTTTGTCGAAGCTCTGGTTTGGAAGACCGTGACAGCGCTTCCCGGCCGCTGGGTGGAGTGAAAAGGACAAGATTTGTGTCCGGCACAAATGACGACAAACCTATGGGCACTCAAGCCATAAAATACTCCATAACGCGTCTCATGAAGGACAAACAACGCCTGTCGCGCGAATATAACAATCTACAATCTTGTCTCACACCACTGCAGGGAGACTCTCCGTAAGAGTGCAAAAGAAAAGCAAAGAGAAACAATCTGTCAGACATTTGGCTCCACACGGGTTGGCATCAGGCAATTGATGAGAATTATCTAAAGAACAACAAGCGAGTGAATGAACGCACGGAATTGTGTAGCTATTTTATACACAAAAGAAAGGCTTGTTGCCTGCCTACGCATTAGCTGTTGCCTGGCAGGCAACAACGGCTTTGCGTAGTGATATCGCCTTTTCATGAGTACTCGTTGGTCTAGGTGTGGGGCCACAGCAGCCTTAGTCCCAAAATCCGGGACAGCACAAAACCCCAGGACAATCCTGGGGCCTAGAAATATACTAGAAAAGTGTTAAGAAGTTAGTACTTCTTCGAAAATACGCTAAAACCTGAGGTACTTAATTCTTAACAGTTGTATTAGTAATTTCCACTACCGGTATTCTAAGATTGTCCCGGGGTTTTGTGCTGTCCCGGATTTTTGGCCAACTTAACGGCAGTTGTTGGTCAGCCGCGCCTGCCTTTGACCAACGGGTAATCATCTTAGGCAGGCTTGATATGCAACACAATCCTGTGCTGGGAGCAACAGACTTCCGCATGGAAGGTGCACGAAATTCCAAGACGTGGGTCTGGCGTAACTACCCGTGCCACACCCAATGGGGCAATGGGGTGGAAACATGCGAACGATCGTGTCTTTCCGACATTTGGAACGGGCTGCACCCCCCCCTGTCGTTCCGCCTTAGTCCCCGCATTAGGGGGACCGTAAAGTTGAGTAATTAAACACGCACTGCGACTTATAAACACCACTGCGACTTAAGGGGTTTTCCCGATGATCTAGCGGATTCCGTGACCCGCCGCAACTGCGAGTCAGACATCATAAGAAGGGAAGTCTGCAGACTGTTGTTTCTTCTTCCTAGACCACTGAGGGGTCCGGAGGATCTCCTATTCGAACGGGGACCCTTGAGGAGTCCGGCATAACTATCACTGGCTCGGGGACCTCGAGAGACTGAACTATCGATCTAAAAGCTAGAAGAGCTATTTGATCGGGGAGATGGAACTGATGTTGCTGACGTAGATGACTTACGTGGCCTTCAGTAAGTGGCAAGAAGTGCCCTCTTCCTGATAGAATGTATATTATACCTGAAAACGGGATATCAACTTGGGAGAAGCTTGGAGGGATACAAAAGGGGCTGTTTGGACGTGAAAAGGGCAACTGGGGCAGAGCAATCAACACATGCACATCAATAGGATATCCACAGCGGGGTTTTGGTGGCTGATTCAGCGGCTGAGCGCCACAACACCGCAGTTTAGCGTCCGTGCCCTCAGCGGCTTCCAATATCCACCCTTGTCCACGGTCGGCCGTCCGGCCGACCGCCGCCCGGAACGCCGCGTCTTGAAGGGCTCTCAAGGCTCGACGAGCTCGTCAAATTACGAGGGGGAAGGGAAACAAAAATAGTGTATTTCTACCTCTTTAGTTGTACAACTTTTGCCTTTCTGTTGGCTCGGAGCTGTTTGCAAAATAAGTCCAGCGAGCAGCCGGTTTGCTGCTGTTGTAAGTTGACAATGTGCATCGCGGCCTCCTCGCTACACCTGTGGGCCTTCGCCACCTTGCGAATCTCCTTATAACCTCGAGCCGTAACGAATACCACTGCAATTCATTTTGTCGCCCGGCGCGCCACCGGCTTCCCATCTACCGTCGAGGTCGGCAATGGCTGGCCCGCCTCGAAGGCCAACCGTCCACTCGCTCCAGAGCGCCTCGACCATTTTTACTGCTCGGCACATCTGATACCGTGGCGGTGGCTCTGTCTTAACCGTGATCGTATCTGTCGCCGTCGGGCTCGTGGCACGGCTATCAACAATGCTCGACTGAGCCGAGACGAATCGGCTTCCATCTCCTCGTCCTCCCTGCCCAACGACATCAACCACGGCCGGGGCCGTGGTGGCAGTGGTGGTCGTCGCGGCCGTAACGGAAGTTGAAACCATTCGAAAAAGGGACGACTGGGCTACCGCAAGACGTTCTTCGGTGGCTCGAAGCTGCTCGCTTAGCTCTGTTTTAAGCTGGATCGTCCTTGCTTCGTTCCGCGCGTCGATGGATTTAAGATAGTCCGCGAGGACCGGCATCGCCTGGACTAGGACTGCAAGCTGGCTTGGACGCTCCTCTTCAAGGATGAAGTCCGATAGCTGGTGCGCGAACGGGGCGTAGGCCGGATGCCGGAAGACCGGGTGGTTCCAAACGGGGCTGCCGGGGTATTTCTTCATCAGGACAACGGAATCCTGCAAGACAACCTCCCGTAAATAGAAGATGAGGTTCGTCGAACCCATCGCTGCCAGGTCGTTCTCCTGCTCGGTACCGGGACCGAACCGGCCTCGCCAACGGTCCAGCTCGGGCCAGATCATCGAGAGCAGGACCTCCGGCGGCGTCACGCCGGCACGGCGTATCTCGAAGCATCCGGCCTGCGGCGGGTGCCCGGCCATCGTACGCATGAACTTGCGAGGCAACGAGTTCAGGTAACAGCCGACCATCTGCTCCTGGTTCCAACGACCCGCGCGACGGATCTGGTCTTCGCTAATCCCTTTAGTTCAGCCGTCCTCGCCCCGAGCTGCGGCCGACATGCGTCTTCTTCTGCGACGTGACGCCGGCGTAGGCGAAGGCCTTGACAACCCACTCGCGCTGTGAGTTGTACGAGAAAGCCGCCGTCCGGCCGGTGCCGTTACCCTTGATTAGCCGGATGTCGTACCACGAGGACCGCCTGCTGAAATCGGGAAACGGCTCACTACCGAGATCCCAACGATACAAGAGGTAGAACGAGAGGCCACCCAAGATGCAGATTAGCGGGTTCCTATTCCGATACGCGCCGGCGGTCTCGAGGCGGCCGTGCTGGTTCTGCTTGCCGGCTCGTGTCGTAAAGATGAGCGGCATGCACCGGTTGAGCCCTTCCCCGCTAACTCAAAGGTGAATAGGTCTGAGATCTCTGCAGCCCGACGATCGCCGCCACGGGTGAGAAGATAATGGCCAAAGAGGAGATCCACGAGGTCCGAAAATGACACTCGGGCGATGTGCCGCTGTGGGCCCACAGCTCGTGGCATACTCGTTCGAACTCGGACTCGAGTAACCATCGAGCAGAGTATCGCGGCCTTTATCGGCATAGTTCTCCCTGTCTCGTTGGGCGTCCCGGCGCTGTAGGGACTTGAGGTACTCTCGTACGTTGTCCTCGCGCGGCGACGGGTGCGTATTCATTCCGAGGGCCTTCTGCGTCCGGTAAAGATCCGTGATTGCGGTGACATAAGTTCGGACCGACCGCCAGGCCAGGCGGGTCTCGTCCTGCGGAGTATCAGTGGCGGCCTTGCGGCTCCTGACCTTCAAGGGCCGACCGGCCACCTCCTCGACGAGGAAGAGGAGGAGCTTCTCCTCTGTGACCGTAGCGCCGTCACAGTACTGTTTGTGGCGGCAGAATTGCTCGAATTCCTCTTGCTTCGGTGCGTACGCCGAGGTCGTATTCCTTGGCCGAGACTCGTGGATCGCAGAGAGGATCGTCTGCGCATTGGCGCGTAGCTCCGCGTCGTTTATCGCGTTCTGCCGGATGCGTTGGTCCACTCGTACGCTCGACGGCTTTGCGCGACTCCCTGCCCCTGCCCCTGCCCCGGCCGCTGCTCCTGCGAGCTTCGGCTTGGGCCCCGCTTTTGTCTTCGCCTTCCGTCGATTTGGCGTCCGGGCCATGGGATATATCGTGACGGGAAGACCAAGGCAAGCCTGCGAGTGACCACCAGTCCGGGTTGGAGCGGGGTGGCGCGCGGCGACGAGAGATGCCCTATCTAGCGATCACGATGCGCACCGCCTGGTCGGGTCGCCCGCTAAAATTCCAGTGGACAGGGCGCCGTAGCGAACGTGAATAGCGGCTTCTCCATCGAATCAGCGACGCAATCAGCGGGGCACCGATATCTGCGTATATCCACGGCGCGCGCCGTTCGGGTGGGGTGGATATCCGCAGATACGATTGGCCCGCCTGGTCGCTGATTCTCGGATTGCCCCACCCGACCAGATCAGCGGCGCTCAGCAAACCCTCGGATACCATACCAGACCATTCCGATCACTGCACCACGGGTCCTAGAGAGGTATCTCCGTATAAATACCCCTTCAATGTCGCACAGACAGATAGAAAACATGCATCATCATTTGGACTCAATTGTGCCTGCCCTTATCCTTCCGCCCGCGCTCTCAGCTTGCTGAGAACTACCGGTACTTTATTGTCATATTATTAGCAACACTGAATCGGTCTTCCTTTAAAAGGGAAGGAAATGTCTAGACATAAGAATAGCTGCCTAGAATAATTACTCAGCTGCCTAAGATAAATTCCTAGATCTAAGACTAGTTGTCTAGAATAATACCCTGCTGCCTAGGGCCCCCTTTCCGCTCCCTGTGCCCGATTTTTAGTCTCCCTGTGCACCTTACCGTACTTGGCAAGACTCCACACGTAGACGCGTAACACACATAATACACACAATTGGCGTCGCGGCAAGCAGTGCCTCCTGGTACAACACCGCAAGCCAAAATAACTCGTGATAACCACCCACCTCGCAATACCACATCGCGTCTGCGTAGCTAAGTTTCAGAGGCACACAACCGCCACAAAGCAGCTAATCAACCCGTTCTTTCTCCAAGATGCTTCTCCAGCCCCCGCCAAACAATATGCCACTCTTTGAGACCTTTGACGATGCGTTTGACGAGCTCCAGCGGCATGCGCGCTGCCAAGGCTACGCCATAGTTAAGTTCAAGCCAAGCAACTACGAACATGGGCTCCCGCCGTTACGACATCGTATGCGCATGCGGCGGCCGTGAATACAAGTCAGCCTCGTTAGGACTCCGGAAGACTGGCACCAGGCGGACTTCCTGCCCGTTTAGAGTCAAGGTTGTGCGCCTGAAGCTAGAGGGAGACCTCTGGCGGATCTCTGTGATGTGCCCAAGGCACAACCATGAGGCCAATAGGGCCGGCGCCTTCCCAGAATACCGGCGCCTTCATCCACATCAACTCCAGCAGGTTAAAGACTTATCTCGCGATGCTGGCTTAACGGCGCGGCAGATCCTTCTTGCTCTTCGGGCTAAGAGCCCGCGGCTACTTGCAACAGAGCAAGACATCGCGAATATCTGTGCCCGGCTTCGTCTCCGGGAGCTTGGGGCACATACATCCACACAAGCGCTTATTGCCAGGCTCGACGAGGAAGGTGCCTTCCATAAAGAGCTACTTGACGATGAGGATCGCTTCTTCTACCAGATTGTGGGCCTTGACCCTGCCTTGCGGCTTTGGGCACAACATTCACACCTTATGATGGCCGACGTAACGAACAACACGAATAGATATGGCCTCAAGCTGCTAGAGATCAATGGAATCACTGCCTTGGGCTCTATCTTCCTGTGGCTTTCTGTTTAGTCCCTTCCGAAGACACAAACGCATTTACCTGGTGTTTTATACAGCTTCGCGAGTGGTTACAGTCAAAGGCAAGGCTAAGAGGCGAGGCTGACGGCAATGCCTTTATCCCACACGTTATCATCACTGACTATGACGCTGCTGCGCGCGCTGCATTGACGGCTACCTTCCCGGACTCACAGCTACAGGTCTGTACGTGGCATATCATGAAGAACATCACTACAAACGCGAAGAAGCGCTGGCTTGGCGACTATGACGATGACGACCCATTTGACCCGCCGCAAGAGCCCCAAGACGATGAAGACCCCGGGCGCTCTGCAGCTACCGGAGCCACTGCCGGAAAAAGAGGCCCCTGTGCCTTCACAACAGCCTTCCGGTCCGTAGTGTATGCCCCGACCGAGGACGAGTTCAACAGCCGCTGGGGCATCGTCAAAGGCGCCTTCTCAGACCAGCACATTATTCTTAGGTATGTGGAAGAGGTCTGGATGCCTGTACGAACGCAATGGGCGCGCGCTTGGGTCTGCCGTTACCGCAACTGGGGCCACACAACGACCTCGCCTTGTGAATCCCTTCACTCAAGCTCTCGCACCTTCCTTCGCAACGGCCAGTCGAACCTGCTTGAATTATATCATGCCTTGCAACTACAAGCCTCAACCTCACGAGAACACCATGATCGGACCGTTGAGCGCGAATCACGACGGACTCGCGACCTGTTCCGGCTACCATTATATGAGGAAGCCGTCGAGAAGGCGTCATATCCGTCTCTCGAGCTTGTACAGAAACAGGCACTAGCCGCCTCGGCCGGCCTCCTCAAACCACAAGAGCGGCCACTTGGGAATGTGGGAATAGCTTCACTGCCCAATACGGGCTGCCCTGCAAGCATATTATCGCCTCGTACCTCCAGGTCCAAGGGAGGGACTAGCCGCAAAGTTATAGCTACAAGACCCTTGCCCTTGAACTTGTGGGACAACCACTGGCTTCTACGGCAGGATCTTGCTGTCACAGACCCATACAGACGAATTCGCGATCCTCGAGTCATTGCCCGGCGCCGCAGACCAGCCAGAGCCATAGCCTTCGCACCTGTGGCCACGACTGCAGCCGTTGCAACAGCCGCTGTAACTGCACCTGTGGCCTCGTCAGCAGCGGCAGCAGCAGCTACCTCACCAGCTTCGCAACAGTCACAGCCTCGCGGGCAACAGCAACAGCGGCAGCCAGTCTTGCAGACAGTGCTTGCGCGGCTTGAGGCTATTGGCAACTACCTTGGCATTGGGCCGGCTATAGCTTCGTGGTCGGTGTCAACACCACAAGCAGCGTCAACACCACAAGCCGACATCGTGATCCGTCAAACGCCTACACAGCCGACCTCATACCAGCAACCGCAGACTTTCCGGCGCTCAGAGTCTGCCACCCAACTTATGCGGCGGCTACCCTCGGCCTTCGAATATCACGAGCCGCCGCGGCCGCCGCGTCAAGGAGGGTCTCAACGGGGGCATCGCGAGCGCCCTCGTCTCTTTACCCTTGGGTCCTCGACCCCCTCTTTCTAGCACCCTTACATCAGTGGAAGGAGGATTTATGCCGCTCCCGGCTTCGCAGATAAGTAACGCTACAGTTAGAGGAAAGGGGGAACGCTCACCACGGCGGAAAAGAGGCCACGCAATGCGGCAGCCGTATGAGCTTGTAATGCGGCTAGAAGATATGGAGGAAATGTGCGAATAGCTTCAAATTCATAATGTTCAACGCAAAGACTCTACAATCCGTGACCACCTTCTACAGTAATTGGTGTGTTGCACACACAAATGCAAGTCTTGGCCGATTCGCGATGCTTCTACCTAATACGGTAAGGTGCACAGGGAGACTAAAAATCGGGCACAGGGAGCGGAAAGGGGGCCGCTGCCTAGAGGGATCGAACGAACAGGGTTCAAAGCCACTCCACGAATATCCACATATGGACTCACATGTGGATCCACATCAAATCCACTCCACTCCACAAGACCCTGGCCACATGTGTAGTAGTAGTAGTAGTATTGATTACCGTCTGGGACATCCCTATAAGGGCAAAAGACGTGCTAGGCTAGGTATAGTACAAGATGAGGGTGCTCGCCGGAAACCCGTCGCGCCTTCCTTACTTCTACTCCCCTATCTAGCAATTCTTGGACTCTGTGGCCGCTCGGATTCTCAGGTCCCTTCCCCCGTCAGCGGGTTCCGGGCACGGCGGTAAAGCCGTAATATTAGTCAGTCTTCGGTCAGAGCCGGGTGACTGAGAAAGCCCACGCAGTCAGCTGGGCCGTAGGCCCACGGGGAGCCTACGGGCAGAAAACATAGAAAAGAGAATTGTACATATTAGGTTGGGGTTGCCTCGAGCTAGTGGCGGTGGCAAATCCGATCAAAGAATCCTGCCTCCGTTACTAGCCCGAGGAACCGGTCAAATCCCTTCCTAGTGCCTGGTTGATAGCCTTGCCCGCCGTGGGGCTAGCCTTAGGCGGTGTCGAGTACCTACCTTCCGGCAGTAGAAGGGTGTGTCGGTGATTTTCTCCTTCCGCAGGAGCATGCGATCCGGGCCTCTTCGTGGTTAAACCTCTCGTGGTAGTCGGCGAAGTCCCCGTGCCCGCTCCTCGCAGCGAGCAGGTGATGGAGGTGCTGTCGTTTGGTGTGCAGCTCCGGGGGGCACCCGAGCGAGGCCTTGAGCCCTAGGCTCTTGTAGCTGCTCGGGGCCCCCGCGGACCACCAGTCCTGGAAGTCGCGCCTGGCCGCAGCCTTGGCCTGTCTCTTGATGTTCGCGTACGTCGGCGGCCTGTCCGGGCCGAGGGCCCGGCAGCCCTCCTTTGCTAGCTGGTCGGCCCGCTCGTTGCCGGCGATCCCCGTATGGCCGGGGCACCAGCGCGTCCTGACGTCTCCGTGCCGAGCCGCGGCCTCAGCGAACTTCTCCGCCGCCGCTTGCGACGAGATCGATGGGCTGCCTCGTATGGCTCTTATAGCCGCAGAGTTATCAAGGCAGACGACTATCCGGCACTGCTGGTCCGGGGTCCTGGGGACCACGTGAGTGCCGCTCGAAGCCCTCGAGGGCGCCTTCCACCTCTGCGTCGTAGACCTCAGCGAGTAGGACCCGACCGCTGCCGTAGGTCACTTCGCTAGGGCCTAGCCACACTGAGTACCCATACCCGCAGGCGCCGTCTTCGCTCTGCGAGCCGTCAGTGTAGACGATGAGGGTATCTTCAGGGCATACCCGGAGCCACGAGTTGAAGTCTCTCGCCGCCTGCGTTTTGTCTACGCCCCCTGTCGGGTCGGGCTGAGGGGGCCTGGCCACATGTGGAAACCGTGGAAATCGTGGAAATTGCGGATACCCTTCAACAAGAGCTGAGGTTACTAAGCAGCCTCCACCCGTACCCGTTGGCGGGGCCCTTCGGGAGCCACTAACGTAATCCACCCCCTTCCCGGTCAGACCCCCTACTCGGTCAGAAAATTTCCCCACCGCCGCGACCCACACTTATGGCAAGACAAACCGAGCACGATGACGGCGACGGGAGACCAATCGGTTCCACGCGAAGAACGGGTCCTGCTCGCCGTCAGGGCCTATCAGCAGGGCCAATTCGGAAGTACCCGCAAGGCTGCGGCCGCATACGACGTCCCTCAATCGACAGTATCTGATCGACTGCGCGGTGTCATTCGCCGACGCGACGCTCAGATGAACAACCTGAAGTTGACGGCGACGGAAGAGACTGCCCTGGTACAATGGATCTTGTCGATGGACGAGCGAGGGATGCCGCCGACAGTGGCTTACACTCGTCGGATGGCCAACTTATTGCTTTCCGAGCGAGGCAAAGATCCTGTCGGGGAGAACTGGGTGCGGAAGTTTGTTGGCCGCCACGGCGAAATCAAGGCCAAGTACTCTCGCCGATACGATTACCAACGCGCCAAATGCGAAGACCCCCAAAAGATCCAAGGATGGTACGATCGAGTCGCGGCGACGAAACAGAAATGGGGGATTCTTGACGAGGATGTCTATAACTTTGATGAGACGGGGTTTCAAATGGGAGTCGCTTCAACGGCGAGAGTCCTTACCCGGTCTGACCGGCGAGGTCGGGCAATGCTCACGCAGCCTGGAAATCGTGAATGGGTTACCGTGATCGAGTCTATCAATTGCCAAGGTTGGGCTTTACCGGCGAAGGTTATCTTCCAGGGCAAGTTACACCAAGCAAGCTGGTACGAATCAGGAGTGCCCGATGACTGGCATATCGCCGTTAGTGAGAACGGCTGGACTTCCGACGACCTTGCTTTGAATTGGTTAAAGGAAGTCTTTGATCCGAATACACGGCGCCGTACGGTTGGTACGCATCGACTTCTTATTCTCGACGGGCACGGCAGCCACGTCACGCCGGAATTTGACAAGTACTGTACGGCCAATTCCATCGTGGTACTCCAAATGCCTGCACATTCCTCACATCTCTTGCAGCCTCTTGATGTCGGGTGCTTTTCGCCGTTGAAAACAATATACGGCCGCAAGGTTCAAGAGAAAATGCTCGCTGGGATCCATCATATCGACAAACATGACTTCCTTCCTATATACTTAGAGGCTCGCCGACAGGCACTTTCACCGTCGAATATCCGAAGCGGATTTATGGCAACAGGCCTCTTTCCGTTCGACCCGAACAGGGTATTATCGCGGTTACAAGTTCAGGTTGACAAAGTTGGTAACGATCACGGCGACAAGAATACTCCAAGCCCCAAGAAGAGCCTGGAAGCAGCCAAGACTCCGTATAACGTCAACCAGCTTACCACTCACGCCGAAAGGCTTCTTCAACGCCGGCCACAAAATACAGACTCGCCAGTCTCACAAGCTATCAACCAGCTTATCAAAGGATGTCAAATGGCCATGCATAGCACCGCCCTCCTTGCCGACGAAAACCGGCAACTTCGGTCAGAAAACCAGCGGCGAAAGCAGAGAAAAGAACAGCGCCGTGAATACATTGGCGACGGCGGTACTCTATCGGTTGCAGAGGGCACGGCTAGGATAAAGCGACGGAGAGAAGAAGAAGAAGAGCGGGTTAAGCGACGGAGAGTGGAGGAAGAGGAGAGGACCAAGCGCCGGCGAGAGAAGGACGAGGAGCGGGCCAAGCGACGACAAGAAGAAGAAGAGCGGGCCGAGCGACGGCGACAAGAGAACGAGGAATGGTTCAAGCTACGGCGAGAAAAGGAAGAGGAGCGGGTCAAGAAACAGAGAGCAAAGGAAGATGAGCGGGCCAAGCGACAGCGGGAAGAAGAGGAGCGGGCCCAACGACAGATAGAAGAGGAGCCAAGTGTCCCAAGACAGCGTGCACCACCACGGTGTAGTAAATGCAGGTCTTTTGAACACACTGCCCGTACGTGTAATAGATAGTCGTAAATCGAGTTACTTGTCTCTTGGAGTAAATATGTCGTGGTATTGTGCTCAGTTTGTCTCGCCGTAAGGTACGGACGGGCCTTGTCGGTGGAGAATTTTTGACCGAGTAGGGGGTCTGACCGGGAAGGGGGTGGATTACGTTAAGGGGACAAGCCCCTTAGTTGGTGAGCTAATGTGTGGACGCGCCCCGAACCCGTGCACGCGGTTTATGCAGGCAATTGCGTGCAAAAGTCAGCCCACGCATTCCACGCCTGTCTAGGCCTAATAAAAATTGGTGCATCGTGTACAGCGATTAAATCATGGTATATGAAGCAATTGATTATCTGGATTCCAAGTGTTGTGCGCAGTTGCATGGCGTTGAGGCATGCATGTGTTGCTGTTGAAACGTGTGGCCGCCCTCTTTTGCCCCATTTGACCCCTATACCTACACTCTCCCTTTATCCTCACTAGATTAGCTATTTAGCCAATTTATATATCAATTAGATCTTAAATCGATGCCCTTTCAATATAGCTGTCTCGAATAATAGCCTCAAGTCTCTTCCAACCTGGCTCGCGTGGCGTAGGCGTGCCCGGCGGCGACGATGACAGCGAGGGCTCCGTAAGTGGCGGCGATGACGATGGTGCTCGTTGTGGCAGCGGCGGCTGTTGTGACGATGTGATAATCTCAATAGACCCTCTCTCAATATGAGGCCATTGAATTGACTGCAACGGTCTTTCTGATGCGCAAGCTGCGGCCACAGCCGCTTGCTCTGCTGGCGTACCGTCGGCCTTCACGCCAGGGCGCACAAAGCGGCGTGCGGGTTGTGTCTATCGTGAACTTGTCTGCCGGCTTGAGGAGGCGTGCATACATCTCTTCGCTTGTCTCGAGGGCAAGATAGTCATCGCTTTTCCCCCAAGCGAGCCACTGTTTGATCGTGAGTCTTCTTGCCTTGCCATTGATCACTTGGAACTTCTCGTTACGATATTGCTCGAGTAGCTGTTCCCTCTCGCGACGAACCATAGCCTTTAGTTGGCGAAGCTCCTGACGATGTGACTTCTGGGCTGCGAGCCTCTGGGATGACTCTTGTGACTGACGAATATCCGCAAGGCTGACGCTTGTATAGAAAGTGCCCTCGCTGGCCTTGACAGCCTTGCCTTTCCGTGTACGGGCACTCATCTAAGTTTGTACTGGTTGACGATGTCTTCAAGCCTCTGGAAGAAGGCCTCGATATAGCAGACATCACTAGCCTCAAATGTCTTCCTAGCTCTTTCTACAGCCTTGATCGTTGTGACCCGAAGTTCTGGATGGGCGTCAATCCAAGCATTGTACCAATGCCTTCCAGGTGCTCGGGCATTAGGATCACGGCGTTGAAGAAGGGTCAGGGCGACAGCCTGGACCTGTTGCCTAGTTGCCGGGAAGCCGGAGCGTTGAAGCCACGTAACATAAGCGGCGACGGCATCGTCTTCATCGTCAGAAAGAAGTCTTGGTCGGCCAGCCGAACTACGGCGGCCAAGGGCACGCTGTACGGCCTTTTGAACAGTCGAGGAGGGCACGTTGAAGATAGCTGCAGCCTGCCTAATAGAGACGGGCTTGGCAGACGAGCTACGCGTCTGCCGGCGCCTGCCATACGTGAGGTCGTCACGAGAGGTAATGACCAGCATTGCAGCCTTCTCAACGGCGGCGGCGGCGGCTGCGCCGGCGTGGGTACGCATAGTGATGATGGATGTGATGCACAGTCTGACTACCACGCGTTACGCGTATTTTTGGTGGGAGCTACGGTCAAGCGCGAGTGGTGGGGTGTGCACGGGTTCGGGGCGCGTCCACACATTAGCTCCCCAACTAAGGGGCTTGTCCCCTTAGTGGCTCCCGAAGGGCCCCGCCAACGGGTAAATGTGGAAAGAATTTCCACATGTGGATCCATATCTACCATCCACACCACGGCCGTGATCTTAGTAATCATCCACATCCACTCCACATTCTCGAATGTGTAGTGGAGTGGAGTGGCTTTGAACCCTGCGAACGAATAATCAGAGGAAAGAAAGGGAGGAGTTTTCTATATAAAGAATTCCTAGATCTAAGACTAGTTGTCTAGAATAATACCCTGCTGCCTAGAGGGATCGAACGAATAATCAGAGGAAAGAAAGGGAGGAGTTTTCTATATAAAGGGACTTTATGTCTACTAGATATCCTTTTCTTAAGCAAGCTTTCTAGCTACTCTCTAAGCAATACAACTACTAAGATCACCTCTTTACCTATCTTCCTACCTACCTTCCTATCCGTCGTACGGACACTAAGTAATCTTAGTGAAAAGTGTCGGCAACTAAGTGATTTACCGGTGATCTGCCGGATCCCGTGGCCCGCCGGATTTCAAAATCACTTCCGACCATCTTCAAACCATCCAAGGTACGCCATCACGGAAACGCCACAAACTAGCAGCTACAACGCCAGGCACAACACGTTCCGACACGCAGAATTGGATACTGGTTAGCTTCTCACCCAAACACGGCACCCCTAGTAATCTTAGTGAACGGGCGTGCCGGGAACAATCAATTTAGCAAACATGTCACACTCGCTGAAGGTAGTCATGTTCGCGGGGTTGTGGTTGCCAACCACTATTGGCTGGACTGTCGTGGTGCTTACGCTGGCATCTATGCAGCCCTCCACTGTGAGAGGAACGGCTGTAAACCAGTGCTGTTCGGAGCCCCGGGTTACATCCGGCAAGACCTCAAGAGAGGTTGGCCAGATGTCGCCGTGGCTCGGGTAACATGCAACAATTGCCCCCGGGGTTTCTCATGGCCCCAGTCAATGGGCCTAGTCGATGGGCCCCAGCAGAATGGCATTTCAACTTGCTCGGTGACACAGGAGAGCGACCAGAGCCAACCGCCCCTGCAACCGCAGTGTGCCACTCTCGGTTGTGGCCAGTAATGCGCAGCGACTTCATCACGGGGCGCGCAACCAGGAGAACTTGCCCACGGGCAGATAGGGACCGTAGGGTAAAGCCTACGGATGAGAGTTTCACGATCCACGCGCACTGAGCCAAAAACAAGAACAAAAACAAAAACAAACACAAAAACGGAAACAAAACAAAAGACAAAACATGTCAAAACTAGACGACCGTCCAAACGTGGCGTGGTATGTCGGCGCCATGTGACAAGCCGGAGGCGGGAGTAAACGACTACCATGCACCACCACCCTTTCGCCAACCCCACCCTTTCGCCAACTGTCAGACATTTGGCTCCACACGGGTCAGAGATGGCATCAGGCAATTGATGAGAATTATCTAAAGAACAAGAAGTGAACGAACGCACGGAGTTGTGCAGCTCTTTATACGCAAATGAAAGGTCCGTCGCGTGATTACGCAGTAGTGGTTGCCTAGCAGGCAACAGCGGCGTTGCGAGTAACATCGCCACTTCTGTCGCGAAGCACGTCTGAGATCTTGAGCTCGGGATCCCATAAGGGGTATACAGCTAAGGGCCCCGACGGGCTAGACAGAAAGGCAGCCTGCAGAGAGTTCTGCGGCTGCAGAAGACTATTAGGAGACCGCATTAGGCAGCCACATAGGCTGTAGAGAGACTGCATATACGGGGGAAGCTGAAAGAGCCCTCGGCGACTAGGAAAGTCAGTATGCAAAGGGGGCTGGGAAAGGAGCCCAGCCCCTAGATATTGTACCTATACAACTGAAAAGGGATATCAATAGGGAACCAAGGGATATAAATAGGAGCCTAGAAGAGGGCATTTGCAAGAGGGACAGACACGACGGAATACAACACATCATACCCATCGTTACACAATCAATGCCCACTTGCATGCTCTCTTCGTGAGAACTTCATGAATAATCATCCTAGGCAGGCTTGATATGCGACACACCCCCCAGCGTTGAGTGATCAAGTCAACGCTGCTAGAAGCTATCACAACCAGCCTGACCTAGAAGGTCATCGACATCCCACTTCCAAATTTGCTTCCTCTTGATATCTGTCAGATTCAGCATCGATCGGAAGTGCTCGAATTTCGCTCTCGATAGCGCTTTGGTCAATCCGTCTGCTGGCATCTGATCAGTCTTCAAGTATTCCACTAGGAACCTACCCTTCTTGAATTCCTGTTTTAGCCACATGTTCTGTATGTCAACGTGCCGCAACTTGGTCGTGATTCTCTGGTTCTCCTCAACCACTAGTCGGATCGACTGAAGGTTGTCGCAGTAAATCTTCAGAGGCCCGAGATCAAGAGAGATATCCTTAATAGTCGGTCCAGGGCGTAACTCTCCTTGGTTGTTCTCTCTAGGCTGAGAATTTCTGCTTCGGTGGTTGAAGACGTGACTGTGTCTTGGAGCCCAGCTTTCCATATGACCGGTCCGTTGAACAACATCATCACATATCCCTGCGATGAACGACGGGTCTCGATATCATCTCCAAATGACGCGTCGCTTGCGATCACAAGTACCTCTCCTGATGCATCCCGTCGTACATGATTGCAAGGAATCTCGTTGAGTATAGGTATCGGATGCATTGGTTTGCGGCTTCAAGGTGTTCAGGCGATGGGTTTGTCAGGAACCTCGCGAGCTGGGCTGCTGCTCGTGCTATATCGGGTCTGGTCATGACCGCGATATACATCAAGGATCCAACTCGTTCCTGATACGCCTTTATCTCTTCCTTGGTAGCCTGCCCGTTGTACTTGACGAGCGGGATCGTCGCGATGGGGATTGATGGTACTCGGAGTTTCAAGTCGCTGAGCTTGAACTTTCGCGCAATTTTCTCGACGTACGCGTCTTGGCAGAGGTAGATCTTCCTGTTTGGTCGATCCCTTACAACTCTGATGCCAAGATACCACTTAAATTCTTCTTCGCGCAGATCGTATTTGGATTGGAGATGCTGGACCAGGTCGTTTACCGCCTTCTTCTCTTGCCGTGGGTTGAGAATCAAGATGTCGTCGACATAGACAAGAGCCAGGATTTTGCCGTTGGTAAACACACAAGGTTCTTCATCCGTACGGTCAATCCCTGCCTCCTTGAGGGCCTGGGAGATCTCATTGTACCAGAGCAGTGGAGACTCGAAGACCATACAAGGCCTTGTCAAGTTCCGCGATCATGGTTGAGCCTTCTCCAGGTTTCAAGAAACCAAGTTCTACAAAGCCTTGCGGGAGCCGGACGTAGACGGGATGGTCCTTCTTTAGGTCGCTGTACAGGAAGGCGTTACCAACGTCGAATTGTCTAACGTCAAGACCGAATCGGGCTGCGATTGCCATCACGATTCTGAAGGTTTTTGCTGCAAGGGTGGCTGCATATGTCTCCCGTCCGTCGTCCTCGTCCTGCAGGTCGCCACGGACGCAGATCCGAGCTTTGCACCTTTGGGTATCCGTCCTGATCAAACTTATAGGTGAACACCCACTTCAGTGGAAGAGGCGATCCCTGTGCCTTGCTGCGTTCGACCAGTCTCCAGGTGCCACGTCGGAGGAGATCGTGCAATTCCTTCCTTATGGACTCTTTGAAGTCTGGGCCCATCGGGTGGTTTTCTAGATCCTGGTAGCGTTTAGGGAGTCGTACAAGGTCATCGCGGTGAAATCGATGATCTCGTGCCGTCTTAGAGACTGCGGCAAGAAAGACACTATGAAATGTTTCGAGGTTTCCTCTGGATGTTGATCCGCTGGAAGCAGGGCCGTGAAAACGCTGTTGACGTAATCATCGTGCTTCCTCTTTGGCTTTGGTGTCCGGTCACTCTTGCGAGTTGGCTGGTCACCGTAAATCGCCTGTTGACTGCGGCGGGTGCGCGTTTTGCCGCGTGGTTCTTCAGGAATTGGTTGGTCACCTGACGGCTGCTTGTCCGGTTGCATGCTATTGCCTTCTGAGGAAGGTCGCCGGCGTGGGGGCAGCGGGTGGACTACGATCGTGTCCCGGTGACTCCTTCAGGACTTGGATCGCTTGAATCAGTCGACCTTTGGCTATCATAGCTTGTTTCTCTGTCTTGTTGGGGCAGAGACTCTAACTCCACTGGAGAGCTTTCGGCGTTATGATGCTCAGTTAGATCGCTGTTTGAACCAGCCACAGAACGTTGGGCAGGTGAGCTCGGGTCTGTTTGCAACGGTGGGTCTGGTGTTGAAATCTTTGAGCCGGTTGACCTGGAAGCTGGTGAGGCGTCCCTTCTGTCCAGCTGTGGTGTTGGTTCCTGTCACGACCCTGCGCGCCAGCGTAGAGACACCAGCGCAGAACCTCACCAGTGTCGCGTGCCCAAGCAGCATCACGTGCCCACGTGCGACCTCGTGCTTACCTGAGCGCTGCTGAGGTAACCTCGTGCATATGCACATAAGGGCCAGCTCGGTCGTGTAGTCTAGTCCTTCTTTCTTGCTCCTTAGCTTTGAGTCTTCGTTCATAGTGCCAATACATCTTTATAGCCGTCAAGGCTCGTATGTGCTTGGCCGTAACAGTTCCGGCGTCGGAAGGACCGGGATTCGCTCAGAGGCGTGAGAAGTCTGTCTTGCGAAGTTGCGATAGAGGCTGCAGAAGCTGCGATCCAGCGTCTTTAACATCTGAGATGGCACCTCTAGTGTCTTCCACCCCCGAGTTCGAACCCTCCAGGTCGCACCCCAAGATATGATGATCAAACTCATAGAGAAATTCATCCAAGAGCGTGTCCCAGTCTCGCTGAGGAAGCGGATCGAGCGCCTGTGACGTTGGCTTGTACTCGGCGATTGCCTCAGTCTCGAGCTGTTCTTCCTTCTCTGGATCAAAGAATTCCTCCTCGTTGAATCGTACATCTCGGGACAGGATAACCTGATAATCCTGATTGAGCTTGGGGACCCAGATGCGATAGATATTGCTGGCGTGGTAGCCAACAAGGTATCCAACGTGTGCTCGTGGGCCAAGCTTGAATTGATTGATGTCTTTCCGGGCCTTGTATCGGCTGTTCAGGGGATATGCTTTGCATCCATACGCATACACCCCACGCCAGTCTGGTCGGAGATCCTTGTTTGCATCAAAGTCGACGTTTGGCGGTCTGTACCGGTACCATCGAAAGTGTTGGTGAAACCAACGGTCCATTTTCTCCTTAGGCGACATCCAGTCGTTCCTCCGGCTTGGAAGGATATTGTGTATCCAAACGGCTGCACGATAGACTTCTGGCCAGAGTTCTTGCGGCAGAAGGCCGAACATACAGCGCATTCGTTGCTGATTAATACCCCCAGGTCGTTCCGCACCACCAGTCGGTTCCTTGGTGTGCGGCGGCGGAAGTTCAATCTCAATGCCTACTTCTGTAGCCCAGATCTGGAACTCGGAATCGCGTTGGAAGGGCAGGTTGATGATGGTCCTTTCGTTGTCGATTTTGATCTTGCAGATCGATGCACCCGTATGTCGTTTAACTCGGGCTTCAAAGTCCTTAATGATCTGGCTGACTTCCGTTTTTGAAGTCAAGGACCAGGAAAACATCATACCGCTAAACTCGTCGGTGACAAGTAGAACGTAGCGGTGTCCGTTGTATGCCGCAGGGAACTCGAAAATGTCGATAAAGACCCGAAAGAACGGTTGCCTTGATTTGTTCGGGGATTCCCTGCGGGAGATAATCTCGGTTGCCTTGCCGGTGCCACAGGCCGTGCACTGAACGGTGGTTGGGCCCTTGATCCGGATGCCCTTTGTCTGTAAGACAAGTTGTTCAAGTGCTTGTGGCCCAGCGTGGCAGGATCGGTGATGCCAGGTTTCGGACGAATCCAATCGTGGTGGAGGCGGAACCCTTGAAATCGCCATTCTCTGCCGTCTTGGCCTAGTGTTGTCTGTCTGAAAGGAAGAAAATACGCCTTGGAAGGCGTTGAACACGGAGATCAGTGATTGTGGAAGCTTGAAGTAAGAGCGGGAAACTGGCTTGTATTCGACTACGTCGAGATCGTACTGGTCTGTAAGCCGACAAAGGATATCATTGTCGTCATAGGTTCCCATTCGAAGCGTGTTGTCGACCCCACAGTGCCATAGACCCTTCCTTGCAAGCTTCTTCGCGCTGACAATGTTCGTGTGGAATCGTGGCACATGCGCAACGTCGAGAAGAACAAGGGCGCGTGTGTTTCTTCCGTTTTCGCCATCCAGAACATTTTCCACCCTTCGAGTGCCCCGTGCTTCGACCTTCAAGGAACCTTCTCCGATCATAACGTAGTCGGTTTCCTCAGCTTCGCGGATGTCGGTCAGCAGACTCTTGTCATTGACGATATGGGTAGTTGCTCCACCGTCATAGATCGTCGAATTGTAAAGAGGATGCTTCTCGCGTAGAGCTGAAAAGACCGAGTCGGTGGTTCCACTTGTGAGGCCTTTTGCATCGATTGTCAGTCCGGCAAAGTCGCCATGTTTGCGTGGGTTTCCTTTATCTCCTGCTTGATCTGTCTTGGCAGTGGCTGCCGAGGCCTTGACCGTGTCTACAAGACTCTTCCACTTGGCTTGCTTGAGAGCTTCCTTGCAGGTCTTGACGCGGCTGGACTTGACTTGTCGTCCATCCTTGGACTCGCCATTGATTGCAATTTGTACAGCAGCGCAGTCAAGGGACTTCCATCGGTGCTTAGACGACGGCACTCCGCATGGACAGTGGCTTTGAGCTGCATCAGAGGCGGCAAACACGCTGTCAGACAGCTTGCTGCTCATTCTGGTGCTTCGGACCTGCTCGTGGAACAGTTCGCCCAATGCGCGTAGTGTGACATCAATCTTGAGGCCGAACTTTTTGCTGTTCATGATGTGGACCTTCTGCTGGCTTGCCCATGTCGCATCAAAGGCAGAAGTCGCTGTGAGAAAGTCATTGAGGGCAGACTGTCCTTCAAGCTCGGCGATCTTGTGTCGTTCGCCTTCTAACTTGGCTTTATTCCAAGCCACGAGCCAGTCCTCCGGCTTGACTCTCTTTGTCTGGGTGAGGACCTGACGGTATCTTAAGCGTGCTTCCTCTTTCTGTTCGTCTTCAGAGGGCGCAAGGCTTGATTTCAGGTCGCGGACAATAACGCGAAGGTCAGACTTGAAGTCGTGTTGCCAAGATAGGTTTTATCGACAGTTGATCGGACCCAAACAGCGAGTTCAGCATAGGCGCGCTGCCGGTTGGCGAAGGTCGCTAGCTTGACTTTGTATTCGGACTGAAGACGTGTGAGTCGGGTCCACTGACCATCGTTGAGGTCAGTGGCCGGGTCTGGTCTTGGTCCGGCAGATGCAGCGTTCTGCTGGTATGCGCGTGCCCAAGCGTTAAAGGCAGACTTGTTGAGTGACTCAAGCATTTCCTCGGAAGTCATAGGCTCCTTTGGTTCCTCCAGGATCGGAGCATCCTTGTCGATATCGACAAAGCCAAAGACCTTGGAAGTCTCAGCCCTTGAGACGAAATCGTCGTACCAGGAAGCCCATTCGGACGGTCTGGAGAGCGTAACCTCAGACTTGGCTGTCATCTTCGGAAAGCCTTTGGTGTTGGGAAATGGGCAGCAAGGAGGATAGAACGATTGGCGTAAGCAAGCAGACAAAAGCGGCAGGGTTTGTATCCCCTGAGTGATGTGTGCGTGTGGCGATAGGCACCGTGCGAGCGATCTTGCACGATGGTCGGAATCAGCTATGATGAGCGCCTAAGTGCTACCGGGCTCATAACTGTCAGACATTTGGCTCCACACGGGTCAGAGATGGCATCAGGCAATTGATGAGAATTATCTAAAGAACAAGAAGTGAACGAACGAACGCACGGAGCTGTGCAGCTCTTTATACGCAAATGAAAGGTCCGTCGCGTGATTACGCAGTAGTGGTTGCCTAGCAGGCAACAGCGGCGTTGCGAGTAACATCGTCACTTCATGAATAATCATCCTAGACAGGCTTGATATGCGACATCCTACCTACCTACCTACCGACATTCTGTCTCAACATCAATCTGGAACATCTCAACAACCATGGCGGCTATTGACGAAGTGCTTGCTTTCCTGAAGTCCTCAGAATCGGTCAATTACGCTGAAACAGCTCGCCAATTTGGCTGCGATGAGACCACGTTGCGCCGCCGCCATCAAGGCAAACAGCGCTCAAGAGTGAGTCTAGGGCTGATATTTGAAGATTTTGAAGTCGAATTGGCCTCGGGACCCTTGAATTGAATGAAGCGGAATCGGGTAAGGTCTTCAAATTCGACGAATCGAAAATCAGGAGTCTTTATTCAATTCATTCATCAAAATCTTGAATGAATGGCGATATGGTCGAAATATATGGTGAAAAAAAAGGATCACCCCGCTTCGCAGCTGCCAGCCAAGGGGGCATGCAGGGGAGGAAAAGGCTAATGCCCAAAGCCACCCACCAAGGGCCTCCCTTTTCTTTCGGAGCAGACACACACGTACACATCAAGAAACTATCGGGAAGAAAGACAGACATCAGATATGTGTCAATTGCAGCGCACCTGTAGGAGCGCGTTCCACTTTTGCCTGCATGGCGCAATGGTCTTCGCAACAGAAACGAGCTGCTTTGACCCCCATCATACCAATAGATTCCACAATGCACTTTCCCCATTAGGCACGCCACAGAACCACCGTTACGGGCGACTGTAGGCCAGACTGTATCAAAACGGAGTAATCAAACATACACTCCAGATTTTCAAACATACACTCCCGACCTAAGCCCCATTTGGAAGAAGACCCCGCCACCAAAATTTGGCGCGCGCTTTCCCAACGCCGCTGCCGCGGCTGCCTGCCTAGATATATTGTCGCATATCACGCCCGTGTCAGTTCCTGAAACCTTATGCTCGATCACTGCCACTGCTGCGCCGGGCTTCGCCGCAATGATCGGGGTATATATTGTTGCACGAATGTGTGCATCCAATTCTTTTCCTTTCCTTTGTTCTTTAGATAATTCTCATCAATTGACTGATGCCACAAAGATCAACCGCTGTCACGTGCGAGGTGTGGGACACTATTGTCTGACATATATGGATTCTATCTGCAATTATTACCAACGCCGGAAGATGCATCCCTTAGAGTCATTCAATTGAAGCTATCAATAAGCCCGGCCCGATCGATCTTCCGATATATATACAATATGCATATAATGGCGGAAGGTCTTTGCCTACCTCTGTGACTGTGACTGTGACTGTGAGGAAGGATCCGTCCGACGCGGCGGAGGGCGAGGCACGTGGAACGAATTTGTGACCGGCCTGCCTGCTAGTTTTGTATGGTGCCGTGTCCTCTGATCCCCTAGCTGCTGGAAATGCTCCGTAGCCGTCTCGTGAGACTGTGCCGGCGGCTGTGCCCACATGAAGCCGTCGTGATGTGCCTGTGACGAGGAGGCGGTTCTTGCCACTGTGACGGCGCCGGCGCCTGTACGTATACAGGCACAATTGGTGTAGGCGGTGGCATCACATAGTATCCCTGTGACGGCGGCGCCGGCTGTGGAAGTGAGGGCATCGTCGTTTGGTATCCCTGTGACACCAGCGGCACCTGTGGAAGTGAGGGCACCTGTGATAACAGCACCGGCGTTGCTGCTGCTTGTGACTTGATGAAATCACCGATCTGCTGGGCAAGATCGTCAACCCGGCTGCTCACGGAAGCAAGTGTATTCGACCTCTTGTTCATGATAGTGGTGCCTGTGCCCTTCCTCTTCTTCTTTGCGTCTCTGGTGGCCGTGATACGAGCTCTGGGTTGGCTCTATGCTCCTCTTGCTCCCGAGCACTAAGGATCCGGCCCGTAGATGCCTCTAGTGGAGGATACCTCGCGTCTACTGTTTCCACGCCGGCGAGGCTGGACAACGTCAGGATCGGCTTCGTGGTCTGCATCGATATATTGCTGTTGTTCAGGCTGCTAGTAAATTAGTATAGTACTTATGGCTGGAGCAAGATACTTACAGTCACGCCGTAAACCCGCCAGTGGTTATCAATAAGATGCAATGGTATAAGGGCGGCCGCGTCAGCCTGGATCAAATCGCGGATTGTATGCCGGCAGGGCAGCCCCCATTGCATCGTGAAAGCACCCGTACAAATCGTAGGCATGCCTCGATTATCGGCAAGCTCAGCCCGGCTAGCCTAACTTGCCTGAAGATCTGTTTCATCGGCTGCCAGCCAATTTTTCGGTGCAGTGACTTCATAATCGTCTGCTTGGCCCATTCAACTCTAGCTCTTGCAAACTCGGATTGAAGCTTCTCGCGATGCTTCTTTTGCCGATGGGTAACGAGCCTCTGATGTGCTCTTGTAGCTGATGGAGGTCAATGAAGCGGTTGCGTAATCGTGACTTCAACTCGTGATGTGTGCTCTCCACACGGGAAGTTACCGTAATGTTATAATTTCGGTACTGTTGGATAGCGTAGGTGGAAAACTGGGCACGCCATGGCCAGTAGGTTGTACGGAGGTAATTAACGAGAGCTATAAGAGGAGCTATTTAGTAAAAGGTTAGAGTAGGAGGGTAGTTAGGGCTAGGGTTACCTGGCTGATCCGAAAACTCTATACAGAGTAGATCCCACTGATCTCTGCACTCCTCAGCCGTGCGAGCCCTAAAGACTGAAACCCAGGCATCACGGATACCGTCAGCTGTGTGCTCAAAAGTCCGCCTTGGAGCCGGGGGTAGTATTGGGTTTCCATCGTCATCTTCACGATCATCTTGTTGCTCAACGCACTGATCTGCCAGTTGTGAGGCATGTTGAATCTGGTAATCAGTGGCACGGTCGATAGGTCGGTCCTCGTCAATGGCATTATCTGCCTGTATAGGGTCGTCGAGAGCGGCTGCTGCAGCGAGGCGAGTCTCCTGTTCTGGCCTATCTCCGCCAATCTCGGTGCCATCGAGGGATCCTTCCCACTTCTTCTTGATGTGAAGGATCACGTTCTTCATCATATGCCAAACGCACACTTGTTGTTGCGTTGATGGGAAGATAGAGTCAAGGGCGTTCTTCAGGGCGGTATCAAAGTCGGTAATCACAACGCCCGGGTCCGGAATATCAGCCTGCCGACCAGCCTCACGCAACTGTGAGAGGATCCATTGAACGCGCCTTCGTCTTCCTTGGCAGTGAGGCCAAAGCCTACACTGAAGCTCTTGTGTAGCCCTGTTGTGCCAATGATCTGTAGAAGCGGCATGTTAAAGCGGTTGACCTTATACGTATTATCCATGATAAGGAGCTCAGGTTACGCTTCCAGTCAGCAATACAGTCATCGTATGTCCAGAAAAACCTCCAAACCTTCCCATTAGGCCACGGTCAACTGCATAGTAGCTGATTTCCCCTTTGCTTTAGCATCTTGAGTACATCGAGGAAGGCTTGTGTAGATGTAGAGGCGCCGTAACGGAAGGCACGAAGTTGCAGCTGGATGAAGTGTATATCAGAATCGGTAATAAGGAGCTCAGGATATTCCTGTCGGATAGCATCCACGATATCCCTGCTCTTGTTATTGACGTTCTTGCTAAGCCCTCGACGAGGCTATGAAGACGCTCGATGCCGAATTTGCGTTGGCTTCGTTGACGGACGATGGGGTTAGCAATTGGCTCAAATAGAGGTTCGTGGTTATGAGAGCCGTGCTTGATGGTGACTTTGAATGCATTGCAACGTCGGTAGAAGCGGATGTAACAGCGAAAGTCACATCCCGACTTCTTGGATGACGTCTTGTATATACCTCTGCCTCGTCCCAGGGCCTATACTGACCACTGTATTCACAGCGGATATTGGCTTCCTTGCGCCTAGGCTTGCCGGTATTCTTGCTATTTGCAACGACTACGACGTAGCCAAGGAGCTCTTGCGTAGCTTTGAGTGTTTCAAGCGCCTCATCATACGTATCGAAAGACATCTCCGTGATAGCCTCGGTGCTACTGTTGGTATTGCTTTCGGTCGAATTCATCGGGACGATTGACTAGACGTGACTATTGCGGTAGGCGGCGGCGGCGTTGCTGTTGTGTTGAGTCAAGTGGTGATAGCTTCAATTGTTGATGATTGCGAAAATGCAGATGGCGGCCAAACGGCAGGTGGCTGGGCGGGTGGGCGGCGGCGATGGTCACGGCAAGCCAGGGCGTTGGGAAAGCGCGCGCCAAATTTTGGTGGCGGGGTCTTCTTCCAAATGGGGCTTAGGTCGGGAGTGTATGTTTGAAAATCAGGAGTGTATGTTTGATTACTCATCAAAACGCATTTTGGGCTGTGGGCACCCCGGGGTTAGATTACCCGATCGGGTCTAAGTGCAACTGGGTAACTTGTATATTGAAAGAAATGAAAGTAAGCGTTCGCTCTGCGCATTGGTACACATTTTCAGTGCTTTTCTCCCTTCTACGATATCATTGAGCCCGAATAGCGCTTTACTCAGTTAAACAAATATGCCTCGACCACAAATTGATCTTTCCACAGTTCAGGAGGAAATCACCGGCTTGCATCGAGATGGATCCTCTATTAATACAATCCGTACGCATCTTCTCGAGCATCATCAGCTTCAAGTAAGCCGCGCCAGTCTCTATCGATCGATCAA